TTGGAATAACAAGAAACTTTTAAGTTTTGAAACTGTCAAGTCAAATCAAGTCACCTTCATTTATATAGTGCTTTTAACAATATAGATTGTTTCAAAGCAGCTTTACAGTGATAATAGGAAATTAAAGTAACAGAGATTGTTTTGGCTTTACAGCAGCTCTAGAATAAAGTTATTATCCAGCTAAAGTTAGTTTTGATTGATTCACTTCCTTTGGAAAGATAATTAGTTATTAACTTAGAGGCCACTTACACAACACCATTCTAACTGAAAACCCTTAATTTTGAGATTGCAATAGACGTGGACTATAATGCGTTAAGAGCTCGCTCAAGTACTGGGGAGCTAAACCATTTAGTGCTTTGTAAGTAATCAGTAATAATTTACAATTTATACAATGTTTAATAGGGAGCCAATGTAGTGTTGATAGAATCTGGCTAATATGGTCATACTTCCTGGTTCTAGTAAGAACAATAGCTGCTGCGTTTTGGACCAGCTGTAGTTGGTTTATTAAGCGTGCAGGGCAACCACCCATAAGAGCATTACAATAATCTAGCCTTGATGTCATGAACGCATTAACTAACTGTTCCGCATTTGTCATTGAGAGCATATGTCGTAATTTAGATATATTTTTAAGATAGAAGAATGCGGTTTTACAGATACTAGAAACGTGACTTCAAATGAAATATTGCACACCCAGGTTCCTAACCGACGACAAAGACTTGATAGAACATCCATTAAGTGTTAGACAGAATTCTAGGTTATTACGTGAGATAGTTTTTCGTCCAATTATTAGAATCTCTGTTTTTATAGACTTAAGTAGTAGGAAATTACGGTAACACTTTAAAATACGGGTGCACTAATAAGCATTAATTCATGCTTAACTAATGCACAGACAATACTGAATTAATGTGTAACTAATGATTATCTAAGCTATGCATTAATGATTACCACATTAGGAACTAATTAAGAGTCTGTAAGGTTAATGTATTAGTTCATACATTTGTTATTAGTTAAATATGTAATTGTGGATTAATTCCCTAATAACTCATTTTTTTAACTAATAGTGTTAGTTAATTACCATAATGAGCCAAAGCCTTCTATTTCAACTTCCAGATAATACAGGTACACTAATATGCATTAATACATGATTAATTACTTCATTGTTAGTGCAAATTAATGTGTAAATTACTACAATTACTAAATGACTAGTTAATAACGATGTGCCTCAACAAGTAAAGTCATAACATAATGATACCTTTGCAAATCATTAGCTAATGATTAATTAAAGCAGACAACTGGTAGTTGAAGTGCATAGCTTTGACTAATTGTGGTAATTAACACATTAATTTACACTATTAGTTAATGAGATATGTTATTAAGGAATTAATACACAATGACACATTGAATTAATAGCAATTCATGTATTACTTAATCTATTAATCATATAGACTCTTTATTAGTTGCTGATGCAGTAATAATTAATTATTGGTTTAGTTCTTCATGAGTTATACATTAACTCATGATTATCTGTGCATTAGTTAAACATGAATTAATGCATATTAGTGCACCCGTATTGTAAAGTGTTACCGAAATTACTAGTCATCCAGTTTTTTATATCAGCTATGCATTCCATTAGTTTTGTGCATTGGTAAGTTTCGTCAGGGCGTGAAGAAACATAGAGTTGAGTATCAGGATATATTTAACGACCTCTTAACCGTCAAAAGATCAAGGAAAATTTTAATTAATGACCCCTTTAATAAACTGTATATGTGGACTTTATAATTTGTTATAAAAATGATACTTTTTATATGGAGTTTCTTGACTGTGACTGAAAAGTCAAGGGACAGGTTTGTCACCATATTTTAATAATGACCCCAAAAAGTCACACTGTAATGTGCTTTCGATTTAATGCTGTTGACAAGCCTTCCACAAGAGACATATTTTGCATAATAATAGTCATAATGTAAAAGCCTCTCTTAAAGGTATCGACTCATTTTTTTATTACATAACTCCTGACATAAATTAAGACATAACATAATAGTTGTCAAATACTGAAACTTGAGTCTTATATCTTTTTAATGATGTATAGTTTGTCAAGGTAATAACATTATTCTAATAGTAACTTTGAACTATATTTAAACAAAGAACGATTCAGTGCGTCCTCGTCCTCGTGAATCTTAACAGGTTAAACCGACGGTAAAGAATTAGTGCCTGTGTTCTTTTCCTCAGCAACAGCCATGTTTATCATCTTTGCTGCTGTTGATACAGACGATTCTTGTTTTGTAACGAGTCAGACATTTTTAATTGAATGTTATATTACAGTTTTTCTGAATTGCTGAAAAACATTTCTCGAAACCATCACCCACTTTCTCAAAACCTTAGACACATTACCAAATCTTCAAACTACAGTCAGAGAACATCTGACTCTTCTGGCAAAAATCAAACAATTCCCTCAAAATCATTTTATCTGTGATCAAAATCAAATAATGCTTTCAGATCTTACACACAGCCAGTCAAAATATAAACACTACAGATCATTCATTAGACACTACGTCAAAAAATGGAGAACACAGCATCCAAAGCATGCATTTACAGAAAAAAAAGCATATTGTAACACAGTAATTATGTAAAAGGTGACTTGGAGTAAGGTGAATATATTGTATACTTTACGCACTGCAAGTATTGTACTGAATGTTAGTGAATGTCTGTATATTGAGCACTTGCAAACTGTAAAAATACAGTAGTCCAACTGCAAAAGCCAAAAAGGTAATAAAAAAACAAAAACCTCTAAATGAAAAGCGTGTTACAGTACATTTATAGTTGTGCAACTGCAAAATCAAAGTCAGTGAGAGATTAATTCTGCCTTAGCATCATGTCTTCATGTTGGGTCCGGCCTGAGGACTTCATGGCCACATCACAGGCAATGTCGTCTCTTGCCAGGCAAAGGGGAAAACCCTGTAGTGTGCCGGATCCAGCCTTGACAACACTGTCCACACCTTTCTCTTTCTCTTCCTCATCCTCTTCCTCCCCGTCCACCACCTCTTACACATACACTTATCCTCCGCTCCTTCTCAGATTGTTTCCATCTATTGTTCTGTGGCACCTGTGCACTCTGAACTGCCTTATTTTGTACAGTTGGTTTGATCACATCATTAGAAATGTGTGAACAATTTTGAGTTAAACGATAACAACTGTATTTCAATTGTGTTTAACTTCTGCCTGCCTGGGGTTTAGCGTGTTGCAAGACAAGTGCATCACAGTGCGATATGAGTTTTAGTGAGTGAGAATGTGTTTAGAGTACATGAGATTTGCAAATGGTTTTTAACTGCCTGAACTTGTTTAAAGGAGCTGTATGTAAGATTGTGGCCAAAACTGGTACTGCAATCACTTTCAAATTACTGTAGAGTGGTGTATCCCCTCCCCCTCCCCCCTGACTCAAGGTTGCCAGATAGGCTGCAGGATCCAGCAGGAACGTGACGAGCTGCAGCTGTGGTAACTAGAGGAGAGCTGGCAACCCGGATGCCGCAACACTACTGACTTCGTGATTGGTAGATAGGTGGAGGGTGGAGCATCAGACAAAAACACAACATGACAACATCAACATCAGTTGAGGGCTGCAACTGCACTTTTTAAATGACAATATCCTGGCCGGACAACTGTTGTCAGTGATATAAGTATTTGAAATGTACATGATTTCTTAATGTCTAGTGATATATCAGGGCCATTTTATGATTAATTGAAATACATTTCTTACATACAGCTCCTTTAAGGTTTAACAGGACTGATGTATTTGACAAATTGGTTTAGGCTATTGGGGCTTTTTGGTTCAGAGAATGGGGTTTAGTGTTTTAGCAATTCAGAAACACAAATATTCAAAAAACAATATTAGACGTCTCTGAGCTGACCTCAGTCTTTTTTTTATTAATATCAATTCCCAAATTTACTGCAGGTTATAGGTTAGCTTTTGTATTTTAATTTGTGGTTAAATTTGATTTTGATGGTCCACTTAAGACAACTATAAGTACCTTTGCAACTACGTCAACTAACTCTCATTAGAGTTTAAGTAGACTGTTAGGTGTTATGGTTCGGGTTAGTATGATAAGCTGACTTGTAGTTGCAAAGTTTCTAATAGTTAGTAGAATGTCTAAAATGGACCATCGAAATAAAGTGTTACCTTATTAGTTTGTCACTATGCCCCTTAATTTACAGATCTTTAATAAACCAACAGTGAAATGACCTGCAGCAACCAATCAAGAGCAAGAATTGAACAATGAACAATTTCATTCTATAATCTATCTAATATAAAAATCTAGAACTTGGAAAGTTAAATTTGTAGTTATCAAATAATCTGTGAGGTCCAGAGAAAATCGAAAATGTCAAATTATCCGATGTAAGTTTACATTGTTCCGTTGCTCAGGCCAGGGATTTGATTAAAAACAGATTTTTATCATCGCATTATTTAATCATATTTAATTCACACATTAACTTTCAGAATGCATTACATAGCAGAATGCAGTTTATACCATTTCATCATGTGAACTAAACCTCTGTTTTACACAAAGAAAAGTAGAGAAGGAAAACATCTGTCTCTGGCAGCCTTGAGACATTTGAGGCAATTAGGGGACACATCAATGTGTCACATTCTGCTTAATGGCTTTAAATTGTGAGAGGATACATAAGTACATAATTTCTGCCTGACAGCAATGTACCATTCTCTCATGGCTTAAGTGTGGAAATTCTTTTCTAGAACTAAGCACCTTTGCATTTACTCTGAAACTTTGCATGTTCAATTGACATAATCTATGTCTGAGATATTTGTTTATAAAATAACTAATAATAATATTTACAAGTCATAATTGTGATCATAAAGCTATTCGAATCAATGACTAGGAGTGCACTATATATAAATATAGAGAGAGAGAGAGAGAGAGAGAGTATTCAAGTAATTTCATACATGAAACGTATTTTTGACCAAAATAATAAATAGGACAAAAGAATAAGCATCACGTCATTGACCCATTTATTAGAAATAAGCTGAAAATCATGTGGAATATATTTACAATAGACAGACTAGTCTATGATACAACAATCCTCTAGTTACCAATCTAACACCCTTTGTTTCCTGCTTTCCTCAAACTACTATAAAACTCTTCTGAATGGTTGTGGGATTTTCTATCAGGAGGATGGAATATAGGCTGTGACATCATCTAGTCCAGAGCTCTCATTATCCAGATACTCCAGAATGACGTTGCCTCCGTTGTGCAGGGGACAGTCTGTGTGGGAAAGCAGCGACTGAAGGCTAGTGTCCATCTTAAAGGCTTCACCCGTCTCGGGGTGACACAAACGCAGTTTCTGTGCAGAGCATATATGTTAATGCAAATTGTATTCGACAAACAATAAATTAATAAATCTATGTAACAGTTCTAATCCTACAGAATAAAGTTTAATGTAGTTCTGTGCGGCTGACCTTAGCTGTGAGCACATTGTTGTTGTTCTTCAGACTGGCCTGAGATGCAGCAAAGTCCACTACTTTGCCGACACTCCATTTAGAGCAGAAGAACATGGGCGAACTAGAGTCTTTAGCCTCTTTGGGCAGAAACACCTGAAAATATGTCCGTTCTGTCTTCAGAGGACATCAGAAGAGGAATTTCTGATGAGATATTTGCTCATAAATAATGCAATGGAAGTTACATTATAATATCAGTTTTGCTCTGATACCTGTGGCAGGCCTTTATCTCCTGACGCATGCATTTTCAGCTTCATCAGGGCAACTTTTGCAGCAGTCGCAGCGTTTTTCGCTCCTTTTCTACCTTTACTTGGTGGTGCATTCTTTTTTGACTCTGTTTGTAAGTAAAGATGAGATTATTTTTTGGCTTTCTAAGAATTCTTTGGCATCACAAGCTCTTCACAATTAGACTATACTGCCCTCATGTTGACAAAAAGAGCAAGTACACCATATGCAATCTAAATTACTTAAAGCCAATATGTAACAGTGGCAAAACTAAATGTAAGTTTGCAGTCAACTGCTAAAAAAACTGACCCACTATCTTCTGCACCAGCTCCTGTGTTGCAGCCATGCGAGGCTTCGGGGTCTCCAGCTTCTCACACTTATGGTCATCCTGATGCCGATGTCTGAGACCAGAGGAAAACAGTCAGGTTTGTAGAAGACAGAAGAGCACTGCATATTAGATTAGGACACACCACCTAATACTCCAGCTGCTGTGATTATATACACAAAATAATAATATATATTTTTTTTCCACTATAGTCATTCGTCCATTAGGGTGAGACTTTCAGCAAGCCAGTTTAAAGAAAAAATGTAGGGTTATTAAAATGAAGTTTGTAAGAGGTTTTGTACATGAGGCAGAAGTGTTTTTCACAGTGTGGACAGATGACAGGCAGCAACTCTTTCCCTTTGCAATCCTCAAAGCTGCACGGATATGATGAGATTCCCTCAGACACAGAGATCTCTCTCTTCACTGTGACCTGAAAGAATCATCCATAATCATCAAAACAGTCACTCAGTGATTAAATATATATATATATATATATATATATATATATATATATATATATATATATATATATATATATATATATATATATATACATACATGTGTGTGTGTGTGTGTTTATATATATTTACTTGTAATGATTTTATTTTACTGTCAGTAATCACCTGCCATTTCTCACTCACCTCTGGACAAGAATGGGAGTCCCGGCTTCTGTGTTCCAAACTTCAACCAGTAGAGGAGATAAAATGTTACATTAAAAATTAAATTATTGCAATGAATAGAGTGAAGTGTCTCAAATGCAATGGTAGCAACCATCAAATGATTACCCTATTCTTGCCTATCGTGGTATTATTTACATTTTTGGTGTGTATTCCAAAAAAATTAATAAAAATGGAACATGATGGCACAAAAGAAAAACATGGTAGGACCATGGTACTTTTTTTCTGTTCAGTCATTTCCTTGTCGTAATTATTAATCTTGACATTAACTTGTATTGTAATTGTGAGAGTTTTCAAATCCAACGTCACAACATCTTACCAAAACACCCCAGAACAGCTGCTACAAATGAATGGTAGAAAATCTGCATTAAAACATAAAACAAATGGTTAAAATAACTCGTATGTTATACAAAAATAATTAGTATGAGAGCAGATGGCTGCTGCTGTGCTGCTGACTCACATCACACTCACAGTGGGGTTAACACTATGTTTACAATGGCTATTTGTATAAATAAAGACCGTGGAAACCGAATTATTGATGTACTGGAATTTTTCAGCTGTTTGGATGACATTAATATAGAGCATACCTTTTTGTTTGCAAGATTTAATTTCACAATGTTTTCCAACGTCTAGTTCAGCCATGTTTAAATGACGTCAGACAATAATTTCAACATAAAAGTCTCTTTGAAAAAGTCTCAAATTATTGGATTTCCATGTCTCGCATATGTGCATGTGGTTGCTATTTTGTAAATACTATTTAAATAGTTCATCTAATTTTGAAAAAGTGAATACAGGTAAATTTCTTTCATCATTAACCTGTATGACTCTTTTTTTCTTCTGTAGAACACAAAAGGAGAAATTCTGAAGAATGTACAGGCAGCCATTCATGGAAGCTTGTTTCTGCCACAGAATAAAACATTTAAAAAGATAATTGCGACTTTTTATCTCACAATTGTGTATTTACATCTCGCTCCAATTCTCTCCAATTCTGAGGAATTTTATATTTGCGAGTTTACAGTGTCTCACAATTTACAGTATCTCACAAAGAAACACGCAATTGCGACCTTATTTCATGCAATTCTGACTTTTTATCACCTAATTGTGTGTTATAAAGTCAGAATTGCGAGATGTAAACTCACAATTGTGGAAAAAAAGTCGCTATTAGCTTTTTTATTTTTTATTCTGTGGCGGAAACAAGCTTACATAGCTATTTCAGTATACATCTCTGAGATGTAGGGAATGAGACATTGCGTCAATGCATAAACACATAAATAACTTTAATAACACATTAATAATTTAATAACAATTTAATAACAATAATAATCGCTGGACAGAATACGAAAATGGTTTGTCCACAATGTGATAGTCATTGCTGAGAAATGCATCCTTTCTATGCATCCTCTGAAACAGTTGAAGAGCTGCTCTGATACTCTGAACTGGGTTGTATGCTTCACATATGCATAATTAAGATCAGTATAATCTTTTTTTTTTTTTCATCAAAGGTATCCCAATCTTACTAAAGATTTTGAACACAAACTGATGATTTGATCCAGATCAAAACCAAGATTGGATTTTATGAATTAGATTTTTTAGAATCCTTTTTTTTCTTTTGAACAACCCATTTTCAAGATTTGATATAGTCCGATTGTCAGGCAGAAATAACAGAAATAACCCAAGCGCAGAGATGAGCGGTGAATGGTGATTGTGTGTAACAATGTGTAACAGTTGCACAGTCCCGAGTCCCAAAAGAGGTCTACCAGGAGACTTGGGGGAACAGGATTGAACAGCCCGGGAACCACCAGTCAGTGGAGTCTCATGCTGGGCAGGACTGAACTCAAACACACAGACGCACAACACAACCACTAAAACATTAAACAAGTACAAGGCAGGGCAAACACTGGAGTTATGTGACCTAAACTATAACTCTTCCTTGTTGCTTTGCTTCTCCCTCATCCAGTCACATGGAAACCGATCAAATTCCACCATTATGAATGAGTTATTAATTCTCTAAATGCACTGCAAGGAGGTGAGAAAGGAGGACCGAGGAAGCTTTTAGTGTGTGTTTAGAAGCTTGAGTGAGGAAGGGACAGATGCAAATCTAGAAGTTTTTTTCATCTATACTCCTGATGCACATTAGCTGTCCAAAACTGCCCCTTAGTCCCTATATAGTGGATATCATATAGTCCACTACATGAGAAAGGAGGCCACAAAAAGGAGTAGCAAATTCTGACATTGGTGTAAATGTGTGCCGGATGTCTGTGGAGCTGTCACATAAACAATTTCATTGTATATACATGTTCATTTAACAAGACCCTATATATTATAGGATTGAATGAGTGCACTATTGATCTCCATATGGTTTCCAACACTACTGCAAAATATCTTTCTCAAAAGTAGTGCACTATATCAGAGGTAACACTGCTGAAAAACACCCTTCTGAAAAGTACAGCATGAATTTCATTTTAGTCCAGGCTTTTTTATGCTGGTTAACTTGTATAGTGCTGCATGGTCTAGCCCAGCCTTTCTCAAAGTGGTTGCCGTGGCACACTGGGGTGCCCCCTGACTTTGTCAGGGGTGCCGCCAAAAAATTACGTAGGCTAAAATATATATATATATATATATATATATATATATATATATATATATATATATATATATATATATATATATATATATATATATATATTTGAATTTACATAAATACATTCTTCTTCTTTTTAAACATATGAACGTATTAATAAAATTGTAAATTCATTTTAGATAAATATGTATATATAAAATTAACCATAAAAATCCGTCTCACAAGACCGAAGCAAGACACACACACAACTTGACGCAAGTGACGCAACCCATAGCACCGCGTTGGGCTATTGGCCTTGGCCAATTTATACTTCTGCGTCGAGTGTACGCCGTAGTGTACGGCGTAGGCTACGCACGTAGGCGACGCCGTCATGAGCATTTATAATTCTGCGTTTAGGTCTGCGTTGCTCTGCAGTACAGCGCCGAAACGCTAGTTGGCGGCGGAGGGTTTTAATGTTCCACTGTGTTTAGATTCCTCGCGGCAAGAAGAAGAAGATTCCTCGCGGCTGTTTTGAGTTTAGGTTACTACAAGCAATGGCGACTGAAAGAGAGCATATCATGTTGGAGCTTATCGAGGTGGAAAAGGTAAATTTTTAGTTTTTTTAACAGTTTCGCTGTACTTAGAATTTAAAAATTGCGGGCGGTGCAGAAGAACACGCCGGAAATGCATAGGAGGAAACGCGATGCTACCAAGCCGACCAATCACAGATCTTGCGGTCCGCGTCGTCGCGACGTGTAGTTACATTTTTGAGGAGGTGCGCGTCAGGTTACCGCGAAGGGTACGGCGTATGGTACGCGTCTGTGCGTATGCTACGCCGTACCTACTGCGCGCACCCAACGCAGAAGTATAAATTGGCCTTCAAGCAACAACACCGACCGCGCGAACGCGCGTCACACAGCAACTGCAGGCTCTGACAAACACACATAGAAACTATACTATACTTCTGCATAACGTGTCTCTTTTTACAACAAAAATGTGAATTCTGCCGGTATTCAGACAGTCCCATGCATACAGATACAGATCCGGCCTACAATCGCCTACGTAGGCGAAATTTGTTTGACATTTCTAATCGTAAACACAGCCATGTTGAAGCCTGCAGTAATGTTTTTCATTGATGTTATGGCAGTCCACTCTGCTTATTGTTTTTCGAGAATCTTGCACTCCTGTTTGTCATTGTGCACGAAACTTCATGCCAATAAATCATCAGAAATATTGCTGACTTGTGCGCGTCTCAAGCGCACTCTTTACGCTCGTGCTAATGCCTGTTAGTTGTCCGTGGATTTGCCTATATTTGGCGCTGAAAATGGAAACGTCTTTAGACATGGAAAATCGATTTTACAATCGATTCAATGAACGTTTATGTCTCAAAAATCGATTTTTTCACAAAAGTGATAGCCCTGTAAAGTTGTTATTATTATTGTTATTGTTATTGTTATTTACAGTTCGTATTATGCTCTGTTCATTACTGTTCTGTCTAAATAAACAGGACATTTGCATTTACATTTGGGTTATGCAGTGTTTTTAATTTATATTTTACACTGGGGTGCCCTGAGATTTTATGCACTTTTGAAAGGTGCCCCGACTGAAAAAAGTTTGAGAAAGGCTGGTCTAGCCATAGGCACGCTGTTCTCAAGCAAAACAGAGCTGGTGTAGCTGGTCCACCAGCACTCCCGTTTCCCATGCTGGTCCCAGTGTAACTACCCAGTGCTCTACCCTATCCCAGTGGGATTCAAACCGGGGTCTCCAGCGTGGGATGCGGGCTAACAAGGACACTAAAGACCGCAGCCGCTGGTGCGCCTCTTGAGGCCAGGGGAGTGAAGTTTACACGTAAAGCACTTACTGACCTACGTTCAATTCACTCACCACCGTAAACCTCACTCCCATCCGGGTCAAAGACACCAAATGTAACCAGTCTCAACCCGTCCCGAGCGGGATTCAAAGCGGGGTCTCCAGCGTGGGAGGTGGGTGCGCAAACAAGGACGCCAAAGACCGTAGCCACTGGCGTCAGTTGCTAATGCACTTCTTGAGGCCAGGGGAGTGAGGTTTACATGTCCATTACACCAGCCTGAAACTAAGGCTTGTGACCAGCAACGCTTGATGTTTCCGGAGGATACAATAACAATATATTGTATTTATGCTTATGTTTTTATCAATTTCAATGATCATAGTTTATATTATATTATATTATATTATAATAGTTCTAATCCTACAAAACAAAGTTTAATGTATGGTAATGTGGCTGACCTAAGCTGTGAGGACATTCTTCAGACTGGCCTGAGATGCAGGAAAGTCCACTACTTTGCCAACACTCAGCAAAGTTTATATATGCCACTATTAGCCATCAAATGTATCCACAACAGCTGTTCTGTGAAATCTGACAGTTGTGGTCATTTTATCAACTTTACCAACTTCTTAAACTCTGATGTTGCTTATATGCAGCTATAAACATATTAAGTAATACATTTTGAATCCTACTATGTATATGCAGCTATTCATTATCACGTTGTGCAAAGCTCAGTTATGCTGTGATTTTTACAGCCACAATTTAATTATCTTAAACACTGAAAACAGGACAAAGTCCCTCCAGAAACAACTGTTTTACACACGTCTACAGAACTATTTCAACTCTTTCTCTTTTGAGGAAATCAGCAATTCAGGGCTGTTGTGATTGTGTGTGAGTGTGTCTGTGTCTCTGTCTGTGTGTCTGTGAAATCTGCTCCAGCTCAGTGTCTCTCCTCCTCAGACCATCAATCTCCTGCTCCTGTTGCTTCAAGCGTCCTTCAGCTTGATTCACCGCAGCCTCTTCCTGATCTCTGATCAGCCGTGAGCGGATCGGCTCAGTAAATATCCACTCACTTTCCTCCACTGATGCCAGTGCTGTTAGGACACACATCACAAATCACCTCATATTGCTGCTCACACTGAGTCTAAAACTGCTCTTCTGTCTGTTAGCTGTTGTTCCACTCAAACTCGCCTTATGAGAGTCCACAGCCTGTGTCAGCTCCTGAAGCTCCTTCTCTATCTCCTGGATTCTCTCATCATTTCTTATTTGAGTCTCTTTCGGAATCTTCTGTTAGAAAATCAGATAACCACAAACAGTCACTGTCAATATTCATTTATTGTATCTCCACGCCCGTTTCTCTTTCATCTCTGTTTCAACTCGTATCATGGTTTTTGTGTTCATCCATTGTACACAGATAACAAATGCACTACTGGTCAGATTTTTAGCTGTTCATCATGTTTTGTGAAGATCATCTCTTGTAGTCATCCATTTGCATCAATCAATTTGTGTTTCTTACTTCTGAAGAACGTCTTATGTTGTTGCAGGTGATTTTGACAGTAAGAGTTCAGACACACAGACAGGACTTGACAGATTGTGTTGTTGTGTTTTCTCCCAGTACAGACGTCACGTCACACTCCACATCTCCAATCCAGTGTAATAATCAGCAGTTTGAAATCTCGTCTTCTTCAGTTTTTTCCAGCGCTTCAGCTAATATTACATTCAAAACAGGTTTTGGAGTGAAAGTCTGTATGCACTGAGGTCAGCTGTAAACTCCCTTCTGATCCCCCTGATTCCAGCATCCTGTAATACAGCTCATACAGAAACTGTGTCTACAGGAAATTCTCTCTTTCTCTCTCTCACTCACACACACACACACACACAACACACAGCAGAAAGGCTCATCTGTTTGTGCTTAATAAACAGACTGGAGTATACAGTATAGTGTGATTAATATGGAAATTTTTCTTTCTTTCTTTCTTTCTTTCTTTCTTTCTTTCTTTCTTTCTTTCTTTTATTTATTGCATTCATACTTTTTTTTCTGTTACATTACTGGCAACTTGAATATGAAAATCAGGATTATGCTTAAATTAGGCCTTACTAAGACTGAAGTACAAACAAGTCACTACTAGTGTCATTACAAGTAACTCGAGTTACGTAATCTGATTACTTTTTTCAAGTAGCCTAACTAAAGTGACACATTACTTTTACATTTACAACCAAATATCTTTTGGTATATTATATCAAAATATATAACTCTTATATATATCATATATATATAAGAGTTACTTCTTCAAATAAGTAACGCAAGTTACTTTGTTCTTCCATATTGACTGACACTTCTGTCCCCATGTTGAGAGAAATCAGGAGTAAGTGCAGAAGTGTTGTGAGAGCTGTGTGTTATGTAGTTTTCTCACAGCATACTGGCTTGTTAATTATTATTATTATTATTATTTACTTTTATTGCCTTATACTTGAAGACACAGCAGTGAGACAAAAACAAGCAACATAGGTTTTTATAGGTCATAGTGTTGCTATGAACGAACAACTGTTTTCATTCAGAAATATTTTACTACTGAATGCCGCAATTGACAGATCAAAGTTTTCCAAAGATTTGTAATAATATACAATAATTCACAAGTTCCATATAAGGTTAAACATACTTGGCTTGCGGTCCGCAGTGTATGAGCTAAAGGAAGCAGCTTCAACTCAAGCTTAGTTAAACCCCCCAATGGGATTACTAATGTTTCGAAGATGAGTCTGGTAGCAAGATACCTAAATTATGTTGGTGGAGTTGGGGATTCTAATTCAGTGTTATAAGTTTAATTAAATTATTTTGTCTCAAGCACAAATCATAAGTGACTGATTCGTATTGACCATTGTGGGTAAAGTAACTCTTAAAAGTAATGCAATACAATATTGGTTAGTTACTTTTTATGGAAAGTAATGTGTTATTTTACATTTGCATTATACTTTATCCTTGCTTCTATTTTTTGCAAATGTAAAGGCCCTTTCACCCCAAAAGTGAAATGAATAAGCCTCAGACTGAAGGAAATGCAAACTCACACCTGTATAATAGCGAGCGCAGCTCAAACAAACCTTTAATGCAACAAAGTTTGTTTGTTTCTATTGAAATAAGTTCAGTGATGGTTCATTTTTGTTGTAAAAAAGTTATTAATTTAGTTAATTTATATATATATATATATCCACTCTGGAGAAAACCGTGATGTCATCATCCAGCTCTGTTCAGTTCTCATATAATGGTGTCAATGCAGGAAGATCAATAATATTGTTGAATATTAAATTTAGTCTAGAGAACCACTGAGATCAAGGTAACCTTCACATCTTTTGCTATTTTAATATGAAATATAAACTGTAAAACATTTAATGAAGACATGGTGGGACTTTATTATTTGAGTTTTTGTGTTGGAAAATAACATTTCTGAAATACTTTAATGTTCCTGTCCATTTAATGGTTAATGACGTAACAATGGAAGTTAAATATGAACAAGTTAAATTGTTCCATTTTTATAGAAATTATTTTTTGTCTAAATAAATGTGACAACCTAAAAATGTTCAATGGCTATGATAAATGTCAGGTTGTTTGAATCTAGATACCACCAGAATATTAAATAATGGAATAAAGAATATCAGAAAACTGACTCCATCTGGTTTATTTTGACTAGAAAAGTCTACTGTGTCATTCGACTGGATTAGTGTTGAGTGCCGAATCGTCCATTGAGGAAATATCCTACTCAAAATAAAGGAATTATTATTTATAGCCTACCTAAGCAATGAAAGGCAATATTCGGGCTACCTTGCCCCGCCCATTGTGTGACTTCATTCTGTCTGCTAATTCTATTCAATGGGCGTGTCTTCAGAGACTATTGTGGAGCAATTTACGTGCGCACAGGTGTTGAATTTCAGGAAGAGTTACGTTGGTGTTTTGAATTGAATCTGAAAAGCAGACTGTCAAGAATTGCCACTTTCTCTCGCGATCCTTTTAAGAATTTTAATTTTAAGCACGTTGGATCTTTAACTAGAATTACAAGCAATAGCCTACCTTCGGGAAAAAATGAGTAAAATTTCAAAGATTTTTAAAGTGAGCTCATCAAGCTCGTCCAGCTCCAGACCCAGTTCTAGTTCTGGATCCAGTTCTAGATCTAAGCACCGGTCCCGGTCGGGTGCATCACCACAGGAGGCCATCAACAAACTGAGAGAGACAGAGGCCATGTTAACGAAAAAACAGCAATACCTGGAGAGCAGAATCGAGCAGGAGCTCACCATTGCCAAAAAGAATGGAACAAAAAACAAAAGAGGTAGGCTATGTAGAATGGGACTTTCTGCTTCTATGAGCACTTTTGGCCATGTGGTCTTTACATTATAGTCTTATTCTGTCATTTTTATATTTTTGTACCCTTGAAAGTTCATGGCAGCGATGGAAATGACATCTGGAATAAAATAGCCACCTCGTTTGTCGTGATAACTGATAAGGTTAATATTTTGCGCAGCCTATCTTGATAAAATTACATTGAACGATGCTAAATAAAATTATTATATAAGTATATATATAATATTTTCCTTTGATCAAATTTATCTCAATCAATATCTCAGTCTCCATAAACAAGTAGGCTACACGAACGTTTGTGTGTGTGTGTGGCGGAAATGACACAAGAACTGCTGACACCAGAAATGTGAAGGTTTATAAAAATTATTTTCACAAAAGTACACAATGGTTTATTCCACACTTCATTTAGATATGAAAGTTTTAAACATGTAATTCATATTTTTATGTTATATTTTCATAGTTTATTTTAAAAAGATGTCGATACACTACAGCACTTGAAAATAGCAATAATAATAACAATTCTCCAAGACATTTTGTTTTGCTGTTTTTGTATTAAACTAAATGATTATGAGAAAACTGTCGTTACATAATTTGTCTTTTGAAGTGTAACAACACCCCACTGAAACATGTTGGTGAAACATGGCTTTTGTTTATGTGGAGTGACGCCCAGCTGTTGCTCCTAAATCAGGCATCTGGACACGCCTCATTTACAGTTGTGCATTACCACGGCATGGAGTTTACACCCAGGCATCACAGGTGGAGCCAGGTGTAAAGAGTACCTGAAAAGTAACTATACTTGAGTAAAAGTACTGATACCTTAGAGCTAAAATGACTCCATTACAAGTTACATGTGACCAGTTTCAATATGACTTGAGTAAAAATATTAGGCCTGGTTTCACAGACAGGGCTTAAATTAAGCCAGGATTAGGCATTAGTTCAATTAGGACACTTAAGTAGCTTTTATAAACATGCCTTAAAAACATTACTGGTGTGCATCTTAAGACAACACATTGCCTATGACATATCAGTGCAAGTTGCTTTCAGTTAAAACAGCTCAAACATGCATTTTAATCTGGGACTAGCTTAAGCCTTGTCTGTGAAACCGGGGGTTAGAGTATCTGATTTTAATAACAGTACTAAAGTATTTTACTTGTACTGAATGTATGCTCAAAGATGAGCTTAAGTGCTCAAAATGGGCATAGTATACCAATATCCTTCAAAAAGCTTCTATATAACGGGTAAATAAAATAATTAAGTGAAATGAAATAGTCAAAGCCTCATCTTATATGAAACACCTGTGATTCAGCAACTACCTGCTAATGCACTCATGTAAAGTAGCCTTGTTGACAAGTTTTGGTAAGTAAGTTTTGCGCACAAGTTATAGTACCTTCAATCCCCAATAGATGGTGATATCGCTACTTTATAGCAGAAATAAACTGCAAAATGTAATGAGTAATACAAATATACTGTAGTAAAGAGTACATATACTTATTCAAACATGTAGTCAAGTTGAGAGTAAAAGTTGTGAATATCTTTGATACTCAGTAAAACTACAAAGTAGCCAACAAGATACTTAAGTACAGTAACTAATTACATTTACTCAAATACTTTGAGCATTCATTTTAAAGATTAGAAAATGTCTATAATTCAAGTTCCTGGTCATGTGAAGTCAAACAATAATTTTACTTTCTTCTTCATTTGTCTTAGATCAACTTCTATGATCTTATCTGATCTTTAATTTACACAATTTATAAAAGTAAACCTACAAGTAATTTTGTGTGTAAAATATTATCCATTCTTTCTAAAAAAAAATCCAAATTTTTGTTGTTCACAAGAAATTCAGTTTCTTTAGTTTCCTTTTGTTGTTGATTTATCCAATTTAGAGATACCATTAACTCGAAATGATGAGTAGCCTATCAACGTCATTACCCAGTTGTTGCCAGTTTCTTTTGTTTGCTTTTTCTCTTTCGAAAGAGAACAGGTTAAACAAATATGTCTTCCAATTTTTCTTCATGCAGGTATACAGCTTAAACAGAGGCACATTGTATTCAAAATGCTAGTACCGGGATGCTACATAAAATGCAGTTGGATGCACGTTAACGTATTATTAACAGAATTAATCCCTAAAAATGAGGGAAAATATCATTTGAATTAAGTATTTGACTACTTCAGTGAAATATTTGATGATTATGACCACAATAAAAAATCTTTTTCCTCAGCTGCACTTCAGGCTCTTAAGAGGAAGAAACGTTTCGAGCAACAGCTGACTCAGATCGACGGGACCCTGTCCACTATTGAGTTCCAGCGAGAGGCCCTTGAGAATGCCACCACAAACACAGAGGTTCTGAAGAACATGGGTTACGCAGCTAAAGCCATCAAAGGGGTTCACCAGAACATGTGCGTTTCATCATGTGCTGCATTCACGCCATGTCGTAATTACCGTAATATCTAGATGACAACACGTGACGTTCTATTCAGAGCTGTTCACTTCCTCAGACTGGGAATTATGCATTTCTATGGAAACACTATCAATGCCTAAATTAATCTGCAGTGGTCAGGTGGTGCAGCAATCACGTGGTACAAGTAAGAGCGATCTGAAAATTTGTAATTACGAGCTCTTCAACGCTTTTTACAAGTTGAAATTTCATAATTATGGTAATTACGACAATGTGAAGGCACCTATTGCTGTACTTTACACTCAGATATCTGTAGTGAAATATTTTGTATAATGCCGATAAATGACTGTTGCATACATCTTCAAATGTACCAGTGGATTGAACAGTTGTTAGCAAATGTCATCAAATAATCAATCATTCTTTTTCTCTCACTTTCAGAGATCTGGATAACATTGACTCTCTCATGCAGGACATTACAGAACAACAGGAAGTAGCTCAGGAGATCAGTGATGCCATCTCAAAACCTTTTGGTGATCAGTTTGATGAGGTAATTAATTACAAATAGGGATGTTCAACTCCAGCTCCCAACTCTAACCATAGAAGTCGACAGAATTGACTCCTCGACTCCATTTACTTCACATCAAAACAGGGTCAGGAATAATACAAGATTGCAGTCGTTTTTTACACACTAAATCATAATTTTTTTTTTCCAACACAAAGCCTTAAATTCCCCTTATTAAAACAACACACTTTTAGCGTGACCATCCAAACTAATCCAATTTAGCGATGCCATTACCTTGAAATGATGAGTAGCCTATTGACATCATTACCCAGTTGTTGCCAATGCCTAATTTTAAAGAGGTAAAAGTCACGAGAAACAGCCGTGGTCTAATATTATGTCAAATAAAATAAACGAGAAAAGTATATTGTATTCTTTAATGAATTCATCTCATTATAATGTTGAAGTGATAGTGGTAGGCACCAATGATAATCTATTGTCTTAAAGGGGTCATCGGATGCCCATTTTCCACAAGTTGGTATGATTCTTTAGGGTGTTCATGTAAAGTTTGTTATATAATTTGGTTAAAATTCCTCAATGGTTGTGTAAAACAACACCCTTTCACCCCCTCAAAAACAGCTCTGTTCACAGCGACCTGTTTCGGTGCATGTCTCTTTAAATGATAATGAGCAACTGCTCACCCCACCCCTCTCTTCCATGGGGGGTGTCGAATGGCTGAGGGCAGAAATATGCTAATACGGGACAGTCCGTCAGTGGTCGTGGGCGGAGCATGACATATTGAGAGTGTTTAGACTTTTTGAGGATTAAAAATGAAGTGAATGGATTTTTTTCATTGTATGGTGGTTGTGTCCACACACTGCACACATTAAAGACACATTTATATGCAAACACCATATAAAAGTGAATTTTGCATCCGATGACCCCTTTAAGGGCCGTTTACACAACACTATTTTCAACTAAAAACCGAAAAAAAAGTGTTTTGGCCGTTCATTTGCAAACAATACCATTATCGTCTCCGTGTAAACAACAAAAACAAATTTGTGAAAAACGGTGACATCATGCGTATTACGTGTTCAGTCTATAGGCGCTTAGTTGTTTCTTTATAAAGTATCATCGTCAACTACTGACCTGGCATGCAGAATACAGCGTTTTTAGTCGTTTTCAGTGATCTGTGATCCGATCGTTTTGACAATGTTGTTGCCTGTACGAGAAAAACCTTTTCCGTTATTAGTACATCGATGCCGTTTAAACGTACCTTTAGGTGCAAAAATCTGCTTGGATAAGAGAGTTCAAGATACTAAAAATGAATACAATACATACAGAAATGCATACAATAATGTACATGTATTGATGTGTTTATTCTTGAAGTGAGCTTTTAATGATTTCTGATTAGTTAAATGATATGAACACAAATTAGATTAATCATGGAAAGCCAAAATAATATTTATTGCATTAATATAACATTAAACTACAAAGATGGCATAGAGATATGTATAATTACAATCTAAATGTACTATGACTGTTTTTTTTTGTTTTGTTTTCTAAAGTAAGCTACATATAGGATAACATATAGTATGTCAAATCACCTTTATTTATATAGCACTTTTTACAATACAGATTGTTTAAAAGCAGCTTTACAGAGATAGCAGGAAAATAATGCAACAAAGTTTGTTGCGACTGTACAGCAGATCTAGAAGAAAATAGCGCCATAGTCCAGCTTAAGTAAGTTAAGTGATGGTTCATTTTTGTTCATTTTATTAATTTAGTTCATATATCTCCGCTCTAGAGAAAAAACGTGAACCGACTTCGACACTAGGGCTATTTGGAGTTAGCCTGGCTCCGCCCTCCTACGCACTTCCGCTCAATTTCATTTTCCTTCAGTACTACGTCTGGGATTGTGCTGTAGACTTTGGTTTTCTCCGATCAATTTTTTGTAGGGCCAATCAGCGAACAGAGGGAGTGGCTGAGAACGATGATGTCGTGCGTTATTTTGAGTTGTAGTTCAGTAATGGCAGCGGAGAAAGATGCGAGCGAAGCCATTCGGTCCGTTAGCAACGCTGCCGAATATTAAGTCTGGAGCGGTGCCAGACTCTCTGTACAAATGAAATGTACGAGAGTCTGGTAGAACCAGGCTAATTTGGAGTCAAAGAATTGACTCTTTTGGAAATTCCCCATCACTAATTACAAATAAAAAAGAGGAATTTAATGGACTGAGCTTTGTGACGCACTTCCATTTTGAAATAGTACAACTCATTTATTTCCTGTTATGTATTTATATGCTGTAGTCACGTAGTTGACTAAACTCCACTTAAAATGACTGTCCGCAAGATGATTTAAAAATCTGGACATTTTCAGAGACAGGAGAAGAGATAATTGATGATGATAGTAAACTGATGATTACTGTGTAAAGATTTTCCTAACTCAACGGAACATGAAGCATTAGTCCAACCCAAGCCGATCATCTGACAAAGCAGAAGTTGTAAAATATACGCGATTATTTCACCACAGGGTGTCGGTGCTCGTTTAAAGTAGTGGGCACGATGCTGAAGTGTGTGTGAGACCCGATGAATAAGACCAGTATGGACATTTATTTATTTGAATTAAATATTTGAATCACTATTCTAATTTATATGTTTATGCCCTAAATGCTTAATTAATATTCAAGGTAGTTGACTGTCATTTTCCTCTACCCTGTGTGTGTTAATGTTTTAGATGTATTAAATATTTATCGTTAAATCTATTTAAGGCACATTCATTCTTTTAAATATAAGCAATATTTTTTTGTCAGTGAAATTCATTAAAAAATGTAAACTCAACAAATATGATCAGTAAGTATTTCATTTTTATGTTTTTACAGGATGAATTGTTGGCTGAGCTGGCAGAGTTGGAACAGGAAGAACATGAAGAAAGTATGAAGAATATGGGCAGATTACCAAGTGTACCAACCACTAAACTGCCGAGCACAAGACCAAGCCGCCATGCAAGTAAGTATGCAATGACACCCACAGATTCAGTATTTACAAACGCTTTACAATTTGGCAAAAGACCAGTCAGGTCCTACAGTTTGTGATTCATTGAAATGTCTGTTATTTAACTCTTTCAGCCTCCAAAAAGAGAGTGGAGGAGGATCATGATATGAAGAGGTTGGCTGCCTGGGCTTCATAAGCAGCAGTGCACACACAAATGCTCTTTCTTCTTTCTACTTTACATTCACTTTCACTTTTAGATCTACATCCTGCAAAGAATTGCAAGAGCTTTTTGAAAGAATGAAAAAAGTAAAGAAATCAATCTTAAAATTTCTATATTGTATTAAAAAAAATGTTTTTGTTATGTGTTGATCTTTAAGATGAAGGATTACTTTGCTGGCAACTTGGTGTAAATAGTAGCAATTTATGATTAAATGATATTAAACTGTTAATTTTTAATTAAATGTAAATGTAAAATACTGGGGTTTGGATGGAAAAAAAAAACTTTAAATATCAAATGTATTGCATATCAAATACACAATTTAAGAGTGATTTTTATAATGTTTTATTCAATATTATAAAGTCTTGGTTTTGACACACATTTGCAATTACAGTTACTACAAGGCCTACCTATATTTCAAAACAGCAGTTATGTCAAAAAATATCTGCTTGCAGTTCAATCAAATATCTTGCGGATAAGACGAAAATGTTCCTAGTAATTATAGTAACCATAGTAGTATGTTGTTTTTGAAAAAGAACACCGCTTGTTTGAACTATAGATGCCTCAGCGGCTGTTTATATGGGTAGCCATATTGGAACGGTCAAATCCGGTCCGTGACTGAGCGTCTGCCAATGTAGTTAGACATGAATGGATAGTTCAGCCGATGGTTTTACTAAACTAACACGATACAATAAGACGAAGGCGTCAGCTAACACGACATTAAAAAGTTACCATAGTAAACGTAAAAATATAAAAAATCTGTAATATTGAGTCAATACGTATAAAAACACAAACCAACACCTTCCCACCTGTGAAAGATTATCCAATTTCTTTGGGAATTTATAATCGGCGGTTTTACAACCAGAAGCTGAGTAATGTTGTGGCATCAATCTTGTGAGTGACGACACGTAGACCGTTCCAAGATGGCGGGCGCGCCGACGTGTCTGGAACTGTCAATTATGTATCCTACGTATACATTTCTATGGTCTGAACCCTTGCGTCTGGCTCGTTCTGAATCGGTTCTTTTGAATCATCTCTTAATTACGCGATTATGTGGTCGCTTAAACGCTACAGTAAAACCATTTTAGTCGCATTGTTTTAATTTACAAGAGTGTTTGTGCCAGTTCACTTTGGCCATGATTAAGCTAAAAAAAAAACTAAAATAATTGTAGTTTAAACAAATTGAAAGAAATACTGCCATTTCCACCTCTGTGTTGAAAGATGTGTGTTGATAACAGTTACACATTCAAGCCATAAGCATATTTAACATATTTTGTTCGCAACATCTCGAGAAAACAACTGATGAACGGTTTGACCAAGAACCGTGAACTATGGTTCAACCGATTCATTGAAAAGATCCGAATCAAAAGACTTGTTCACGAATATAGACATCTCCCTCCCGCGCCCTTCAAGAAGCAACCAGGAAATCGCTCTTTTCTCCCGGATTACTGACACGACTAAAGTTACAAACACGGAATCGTCATGAGCTCAAACAGACCAAATTCAACTGGTAAGTTGTTTTAAAATATACTGTTGAACAATGCTTATAACGCTATATTCATACTTTAATTTGGCTTTGTGCGCACTATAGCCGGTGTGTGTGTTTCGGGCATGGTTTCGGGTGAATGTGACACGTCTCACTGTTTCCGCTGCCCATTCAGACAGGTATGACGCTCACAGGTGGACTAAAGTCACAACAGACCCTCTCACATGACGAACAACATGTGAAAAGTAGTTACATGTGAAAGGAGTTATTCTTTATCAACGAAAATGCTATAAAGAGTCATTTACAGTGACTTATAGACACATAAACACCATTTAGTTCTTTCGGTGAAAGACTATGTGTTTTGCTTTAATATTAATGTTGCTTGGCTGTGTGTAGGTTAATATTAAGGTCTTGTCTTGGTCATCTAAGTTATTTCCTTCTTGCTCAAGCCTGAAGGAGAAACCAGATGTCATAATATCACTTTTCAGATAAAAACATCACTGGGAAAATCCATTCTGGGCAATGCTTGTTTGACGTATGTGTTGTGTTTTCCCAGTTAACATTATATCCAAAAGTCTTTCAATATATTATAGGCTACATAATGATTAAAATATTAAGCAATATTAAAATATTAACCTACATTGCCGTTCAGAAGTTTGGGGTCAGTAAGTAAAAAAAAAAAAAAGTTTTATTTATTATTATTTCATTAAAGAATCCTGAAAAAATTGACTAAGTAACTTTTTATAATGAAAATAAATGATTATTGAGCACCAAATCATCATTCGATTAGAATAATTTTTGAAGGATCATGTCACACTGAAGACTGGAGTAATTGCTGCTGACAAATTCAGCTTTGTCATCACAGGAATAAATATATATTAAAAGTGAAAGCAGTTATTTTAAATTGCAATAATATTTCACAATATAGCCTAATTGTAAAGAAAATGCAGCCTTGGTGAGTATGAGACTTCTTTCAAAAACATTAAAACATCTTGCCTACCACAATCTCATAAAATTATGAATAAAAAATAAAAAGGTAATTTTGACTTTTTATCTCCCAATTATGACTTTTTTTCTCACAATTATGACATTTCTCGCAATTGCGAGTTTTAGTAAATACCTTTTTAATTGATAGTTCATCTAAATTTTAAAAAAGTTCATACAGGTAAAATTCTTTCATCATTTACTCACCCTCATGCCTTTGTTAACCTGTATGACTTTTTTTCTTCTTCTATAGAACACGAAAGGAGAAATTCTGAAGAATGTACAGGCACCCATTCATGGAAGCTTGTTTTCACCACAGAATAAAACATTTTAAAAGATAATTGGAACTTAATCTCACGACTTTTTTTCATGCATTTGCGAGTTTACATCTCTCAATTATGACTTTCTCAGAATTGCGAGATATAAACTCACAATTGTGAGTTATAAAGACAGAAATTCTAGTTTATATCTCATAATTCTGACTATAACTTCTGAGAATAACTGTGAGATGTAAACTCGCAAATGCAAGAAAAAAAGTCGCAATTACCTTTTTTATTTTTCATTCTGTGGCAGAAACAAGCTTCCATATAAAATAAAGAAATTTATAAAAAAGAAAAAAAAAGTTATCAATATGCATAAAACCACTTTTAAAATGCTGGATTCTGATTTGTCAAAACAGTTTAAGCCATGGTATAATGCACAATATAGCACTACCAGCTGAATGATTTCATTGTTTAGCCTGTCTTTGTCTTAAAATAGTCTTACCAACCCCTAATTTTCCAGGGTGCCATTTTGACCCTCATAATAATAATGTATTGGTACCCTAACAGCTGATGACCAACTCGACCCTGAGGAAGAGAAGCGGTTGGCGGCAGCCGCCCGTGAGGCTAACCGTCTCCCCGAGCTCCGTCTGATCCTGCTGGGCTGGAGGTGGCCGGGGAAAAGCCTAACCGGCAACACCATCCTGGGGCGTGAAGAGTTTCGTCTGGAGCGTGCCGCCGAATTCTCCGTGAAACGCGAAACCGAGGTGGATCGGCGCAAAGTAACAGTAATAGACACTCCTGGCTGGTTTTCAGCCCAGACCACACCGACAGACTATCAGCAGGAGATGGTCCGAAGTGTAAGTATGTGCACACCTGGACCCCACGCATTCCTGCTGGTCATACCGGTGGGCATGTTCACCGAAACGGACCGGGCTCGTATAGAGGAGAATTTGGCGCTGTTCGGAGAAGACGTGTGGAAGCAAACCTTGGTGGTGTTCACCTGGGCAGAGATTTTGAAGGACAAGTCCATAGAAAGGCATATACGAAGGGAAGGTCGTGACCTTCAGTGGGTGGTGGACAAGTGTAAGAAGAGGTACCACGTCATCAATAACTATATTTTTGGCGAGCACCCGCAGCTGCCTCAGCTGATGGAGAAGGTTGAGAAGATTGTAGCTGAAGAAGGTGGTTACTTCATCCTGAAGGCAGATGAAACCAAAACACAAAGTCAAACTCCGAGTCTGAACACCAATTCAGTGAAAGAGAACAGGGAGCTTGGCGCTAGACCCAAACAGAACGGCTCCTGCAACTCGCTGCGGGCCATGGACGTGGATCCTCCACAGAGTGAGTGCATGTCAGAGCATATAATACACAATAGCACTGAAGGATTTTTTCTTCTTATTGCATACACTGTTTACTTCTCCTGAAGCTTTGTTCTAATTAAAGCTTGAATTAATTTTCTCTTACATCATGTCACAGCGTCACGCTGTTGTTTGTTACAATGTCGAAAATTGGTAGCATAGTGTCATAATCAACTTTTTTTTGCATGATACAGCATAGCATTTGAATGATGTAATGTCTTTGTTTTTCTATCTCTGCAGGTTTGGCTGAAGGAGTGAGTGACTAATGCTGTGTGAACAGTTCCAGTACTGCTGTATTCATTACCTCAATTCCACTGCACTTAATAGTGCCTAAATTATTAGTCAAATACCCACATATCAGTCCACCAGTCCAAGCAGCTTCAGGTTGTAGGGTTTATAGTAAGCAATTGTCCCTGTAGCTTATTCTTCTCAACCTAGATATATAACGGATAAGACGCAGCTCAAATTACTATCATCAAAAGACAAATTTGTGTTAGTAAATCAGTAGTACAATACTGATTAAAAGTATATCACTACTATAGTTACACACTGACTCATGGGTGACCATGTCCTTTTAAACTATTATATGTGATGCTGAGAAAATTGAGGTACAGTATTGGTGTCTAGTAGAACAGAAACACTCCACACTCATAAATTATTTGCACTTAATTGCTTGTAAAGTGCATCAACGAATGCACTAATACAGTTATCAGAGATTGGAGTCTAGTCATTATAATATAGCATGGGTTAGTTACGTTGGTGACAGTTATAATGGATTTATTATTGGTCAAAAACCAATGTTACGTTTTCCATTTTTTTCCACATCATAGCTGCTGTTTTAGATACAGTACGTCCCCAAACCTTATCAAAATTATATTTATGGATGTTTTATAATGATATTATTTTCTAATAATATCATTATTGCTGTTTTATTATTTTAGTGTATATGAAATATTTTCATCACCCTGAAGTTACTGATTGTTTTAGGATTGCTGTGATGTTTTAGGATTGCTGTGATGCTTTCTAAAAAAATTATTTCTAAATAAAATTTTTTTCTATTACATTCTGTTGATTAAATGTCTTTACAAATGGTTTCCTCCTGAAACTTGCTGCTTAACTGTTTTGTTATAAGCGCTATGAATGAATTTCATCACTGTGTTTATTTTGGAATATATGAATTCTTATGGAACTTGATTGACTTAATGATTAATTGATTTATATGAATGCATTCCTTTTTTAGATCTGTTGACATTTCTGACAGCCATAAAAAATTCCTTCCCAGATGTTTGTGTGACCTTTTCTTATCATGAGGATATAATGCTAACCTGCAGTCAAATACTTCATGGTTCACTTTTGACATCAACCGATACCAAATTATTCCTTCTTTATATATTTTGAATTCATATTGTTATTACGATTGTGGTTGTTTTTTTAATGATAATTCAATTGGGTTAATTTTGACCTAGAAGAGGTACATACAAATCTTTTAAAAATCCATAGTTTTTAGTATGAATATTAAACTTTGTAAGTTTAAGACTGTCAAAATACTTTTTTTTTTTTTTTCAGATTTAATAATTTAAACTAAATTGTTACACCTTTTGCGTTCGGGTCAGTTTTGACCTGAAATTGAACTGTGGCTTTACACATGAAAGTTTGCTGCTGCTGCTTCTTTTTTTTCTTTCTTTTTTTTTTTTTAGTATTGTTAGATTTGTCTCAAATTACTTATGTATAATACATTTACCCTCTTTCATACACTTGCACACACACACACACACATTTTTTTCTTCCCAATGGTGCTGCATTTTGTTTATAAACATGCTCATCCATGCACACACAATCATTCAGAAATAAATAAAAAAAGACAAATTAATGTGATTGAACAAAAGTCCACATTTCACTTTGCTACCAACTATTAATAACCCATTGCAGAGTAAAAAGGAGATTCGAGATGGTTTTTAACCATTTTTCTTTTGTATGTTATTTTTAAAAGTAAAATTAATATATTTTGTTTGAAAACATTTTGAAACTATTGATGTTTTGTTAGAAAATAATATGTAGGTTTCATAAATTTTGACAGATTTGAGCATTCATGAGTTATAAGTTCTAAAAGAATTTAATTACATTTATACTCGTAATTCTCATTTTATATTTTCTTATAAATTTCATCTCATGATATATTCATATACAATGTCTGTAGCCTAACACTTTAAGTTAACATGAACTAATAATGAACTGCACTTCTACAGCATTTATTCATCTTTGTTAATGTTAATTTCATAATACATAACTCATAATTTCATAAACATAATACATAAAATCAAATGTTTTATTTGTTAACATTAGTTAATGCACTGAGAACTAACAAACAATGAACAGCTGTATATTGTATTAACTAACGTTAAAACAGATTAAAAATACTGTTACAAATGTATTGCTCATTTAGTTCATGTTAGTAAATACATTAACTAATGTTAAAGGAGCTGTATGTAAGATTGTGGCCAAAACTGGTACTGCAATCACTTTCAAATTACTGTAGAGTGGTGTATCCCCTCCCCCTCCCCCCTGACTCAAGGTTGCCAGATAGGCTGCAGGATCCAGGAGGAACGTGACGAGCTGCAGCTGTGGTAACTAGAGCAGAGCTGGCAACCCGGATGCCGCAACACTACTGACTTCGTGATTGGTAGATAGGTGGAGGGTGGAGCATCAGACCAAAACACAACATGACAACATCAACATCAGTTGAGGGCTGCAACTGCACTTTTTAAATGACAATATCCTGGCCGGACAACTGTTGTCAGTGATATAAGTATTTGAAATGTACATGATTTCTTAATGTCTAGTGATATATCAGGGCCATTTTATGATTAATTGAAATACATTTCTTACATACAGCTCCTTTAACTAATGAACCTTATTGTAAAGTTTACCAAAATTTCTCATAAATATTGATAATATATATTTTCTTGCATCACACTGTTTTTGCTATATTTGTTTTTAAAAAATTGCATTTCAAAGAATTTCAAAAAAAGTAATTAATAAAAATGTGGTAAATTAAGTAATTAGCAGGTAAGACATGGTAACATTCAAACCGTTAAGACTTTTGTGCATTCACTCATTAATGAGAACTTACTGATTAAAATACAATATGGAAGTTAGTTAAAAAATATATTGTTATGACTGTTTGAACAGCTTTTAAACTGTTTTACAGGTTGAATGGGCTCTTTTATTATTTTCAAGATGACTTATTTTGTAACTATTTCCATCATCAGTCAAGAACATAAATGTGTTTTTTTTTTTATCTTTACCACTTACAACCACAAGGTGGTGATATTAATAAAATGTTGTCAGGGATTTTTACTGTCATGATCTATAATCACAGACAGGACTTCTGATTATTAATAGTATTTTATTCTACATTTATCTGAATATAATTTGCAACATTAAAATGGTTAAGAGCAATGTTAATAAATACAGAACATGAAATAATATGTCAGTCTGGGACAGACTTCACTTCAGACTTTGTGTGTATTGTGACAGTTGCCATGCTGTAAACAAAGATCAGTTATAAACTAGACCTGTAGAACAGCAAGACAAATCTATAGTCCATTAGGATTAGGACCTCTAAAATTACAGAAACATTTTCCACTCCACTGTAGATTGAAATCAATGCACAGGCACTCTACCCATAACTCTCTGCAGTGATTCATCTCAGCAGTGTTTGATGGGGATAGCAGTGTTTTGTAATTATTGTGGACATCATGGATAAGTGGATAGGAAGATGAAAACAACGGAAGTTGTTTGGCTAAGGACAAGGTATCGGTGGGCTACCTAAAAGTAGGCTAAAAAAGAAGTTAAAACAAATGCAAACAGAACTGTAGCATGTTTTTCTGTTTTGGGTTATGATTTGTGTATATTACATGTTATATTTGTTTAAAATCCTTATTTCCAAACTGTAAGATCAACTGAATGCCCTGTTGCATGTTAAATGTCAATTAGCACTCTGTTGTCTTTCCATAAGATCGAATAATGTGCTTCTCTAGCAATAGCATAAGGATTCCACAATACAATACTTCAACATTCCAGCTTTTTTTTTTGTAGCCCAGAGATTTGAAGAGACATTCTATAGCTGGAAAACACGAGGGAAGCCGTTTAGTAGTTGGCAAGAGGAATTCAAGTATTTCCATAAGACTGGGATTGTCGGAAGGGCCATGTACACTGTGTTCGATTAGAAGATTTTGATGGTCTATAGGTATCAACAAAGATCTCTCAATTGGCAAACGGGGCCTGGTCATGGAAAAATATAAGATGGATGGAAAAATTATATTTTGGTGCTTGTGCTCTGAGATGACGTTTGCGTATCTCAGAGAAATGGATTCCGCTTGCAAAACCTTCTCTCTCTCTCTCTCTCTCTCTCTCTCTCTCTCTCTCTCTCTCTCTCTCTCTCTCTCTCTCTGCATTCCCCCAAAAATTGTGTTTACTCGAGAACTTTTTTTTTCATCTTCTTTTTAATCTTAATTTTTTTTAAACTACCAACTGCTATAGAGGTAAAATTTTGACTCAAATCAATATTTTAATGACCAAGTATTATTATATTATTACTTACTTATTTGATGAATAGTAGTCTAGTTACATAACTGCCAAGCTCAGAGAAAATATCCAGAGACAACCTCCTCTGACCCCCAGTTCCCCACCCCGTCCCCTATCCCGTCTGAGTCAGCACAGACAAAATATTTACTTTTAACTATGGTACTTCCCAATAAAACTGTCGGAAAATTACAGGTTCCAGGAACCCCTCAGCCTCAGGAGTTCCTCTTTAGATGAGCATGTGTTATCATCTTGGCTTTATAAGTAATTCTTTCTGACTGGAATCACATTTCCCTTTTAAAGAAATAGTAACCCTCTAAAAAAAAAATAAACAGGAAAATGACACATACAGAATGGAAAATAGACAAAATACCAGTGTAGCTGTGTGACTTCATTTGAGAAAATAATAAAATAGGTACTAAATGTGTAGTGAATCACAATGGGATTTATCTTCATGATTTTCATGAAAGAACCAAATCCTCAAGGCCTATGCAACCGTTCATAAGTAAAGTATATTTTAAAACTCTATTGGTACAAATGCATGAGTCAGTTCAGGTTTAAGTGCATAATCTGAACTGAAATACTTAAAACAAATCCTGAATCTAATATTGTTATTCTACATAGAGTCAAGCGTGACCCTGCGCTCCCCATCCAACGCATGTGTGGTATATCACTCTGTGTGAGTGTGAGGGTACTTCACTTGAGAAGGCACATGTTTACACAGATCTCACATATCCTGTCCCAGGTCTCCTGGATTTCCGTAGTTCCTGAGTCATTAGGTTCTGGATCCTGTAGCCATTGTAACAGGCTATTTTTCAGCACACATGGTCGCTTCTCCCTTCCTCTCCGAGGATAATATCCCAACACCCACTAAACTCACTGAAGAGAGCATGGCAGCAGAACTCAGGGATTAATCTTGGTGAGTACCATAGCATATATTTCTGTTAAGGTTACATATTATTGTACTTTACATGTAGGCTACTTTACATGAAAATGTCTTTGAGCTATCGCTTGAATGAAAGGTTTTCATAAATTAAGTTTATTGATATATTAAGAATATATTACGTACAAAAATCTAAAGCATAGAGCAAATTATGAAAAATATAACTGATTTTCTTGAGTGAGTTAAGTCGGATTTATTTGTTTTAGAATTAAATTAATATAGGCCTATAAGGCTAGGAATGTAAGTAAAGATAGATCTGTAAAGAAAGAGCTCATCCATTATGATCTGTGTTTTCCCCCATTAAAGCTACAAGCTGAAGTCATGAGATCATCATCCTCTCGTCTCAGTTTTTCCTCGAAGGAACCAATATGGAACCGGTAAGGAGTTCTGCTTTTAGATATATTAGCGATCAAATGTCTTAAAACTAAATATATTGATACAAAGGTAGCTCTAAATGTGTGATAACTGTCCATTTTCTTCACAGGAATGTAATACAATGCATTGAGTAAACTTTACATGCATTTCACCATTTGACCTGTAGAAGTCACACTTGTTACATTAACAATACTGGATACATATGTAAACATACATAAACTAAAGCTCAAATGAATGATTTATTACAAAACTAATACTACTAACACCTTTATTCCATTTCCAAAAGATTCAACAGTTATGTTTCAGTCATTTCATACAGTTAGATACTGTAGGCCTAAATCAAAGTCATTTTCTGTCATAAAACAAAGAATAACAAATACACATTGCATGGTGGTTTATTGTAAATGGGGGAAAATTTGAAAAATAAAACTAGAAAACTTATTTACTTTTAATTAATTTATTCTAGTTGCTGTAATAGTGTTACAGGTTGTATTTAATGTATATTATATGCAGAAAATGAGCTATGACTGACTCTTGACTAAAATGAGCTAACTTTTAGTGTGGATATCTAATTCAGGATTCCATTCACTTTTTTTAGTATATTTACATATATCTAATTAAAAACAATTTCTACAGACTTGACTCTAGAAAACCTTTGCCAGTTTAGAAGCAAATGCTATTTAGCCTCTTTTTAAGAATGTTACTTTTGACGATATAAAATATAAAATGCGGTATAAAAATGTCTAAAAAGGCATATTTCACCCCAAAATAAATATTCTGTCATCATTTACTCACCCTTAAGTTGTTCCAAACCTGCATAAATGTCTTTCTTCTGCTGAACACAAAATAAGATACTTTGAAGAATGTTGGTAACCAAGCAGTTTACGGTATAGCAATTGACTTCCATAGTTTTTTTTTTTTTTTCTACTAGAAAGTAAATTGCTACCGTCAACTGTTTGGTCACCAACATTCTTCAAAATATCTTCTTTTGTTGTTCAGCAGAAGAAAGAAACTCATACAGGTTTGTAACAACCAGAGAGTCAGTAAATGTTTTTTTCATTTTTAGGTGAAGCATCCGTTTAACTTCTAGTGACATTGATCAAGAGTTTTCCCACAAAAGTCTAGCTCTATGTCAGAATTCAGAAACATGCACTTTTATAACATTTTACAGATAACCTATACATGATGCCAACCACTGGACTCCTGCCCACGGAGCCTGGCTGTGTGAGTGGGTAGTGAGAGTCGAAGCATGCGCAGAGGGGTGGGTGGGCGAATGTAGAGCAGAGCGCGCGAGTGTGTGTGTGTGTGTGCGTGCGCGGATGTCACACACACACTCCGCGTTGCGCATTTCACACGATCTGAGTGCAGAGAGCGATCAGGCAGGCGTTTGACAAACAGCGGAGTATGAATGCATTCACTGACACCATTGCACTGCAACATAATTCGACGCTAAGACAGCAGTGTTTGTCGTAAACATCACGCGGGGGAACGTTATGTGGGCATCATTTCACGGCGCGTGCTGTTGGAATCGCAACTAAACAACTCAGATCAACTCCGAGCTTCATGTTCGAGGGGTAAGGGGTGAGACAGCGTGCTATCCCAGTACCTGGGAGAGCGACTGAACCCAAATATAACAGGTCGTTGTGTTTTCCGGAGGGAGAATCGCTTAGCGCGTGCTAGTAACGTTAGTTTGTTTTGTGCGTGCTGCTGCAGTAGACATCTCTCGCGCACCGTTAGCTCAACATCTCTACGGCCTCGGAAGTTCGTTTGTTTTTCTCCTTTTAATGCTTTCGGTCGTCTGAACACTCATTTCTATCTATTCTCTGGACGAACCCACGCTTTAGGATGCCGGATCAAATATCGGTGTCGGAGTTTCTGTCGGAAACAACAGAGGATTACAACTCTCCCACTACATCCAGCTTCACCACCCGCTTGCAGAGCTGCAGGAATACAGTCGGCGTGTTGGAGGAGGTACGAAACTGCTTTTCTCGTGCTGCAATGCATTAGTGGATTGCATCTGTTTACACTGGTACTTTGCACTTGTACATTACGTCTGTTTATATTAGTACCTCTTTACGTTTATACATCGCACTATTTTTTGTGCATCTGTTTATGTTCGTGCTTTGCATTTATTTACTTACACATTGCGTTAATACATGGTTTTGTTCGGCACCTCTTTGCAGTGGTGCATAAGTACAACAATCTGTTTTTATTAGTGCACTACTGTTTACATTTGTCTTTTACATCTGTTCATTATCTTGCATTTGTCAGCTGCATCTTTTTACTGTGACGGCGCATCACTGTATCGGATCTGTCTTTATTGGCATTTGTTTACATTAGTTCATTGCATTTAATAACTTTTGCTATTTTGAATTGGTCCATTGCGTGTGTTTACTGTGTTTCTTTGAGTTTGCATCAATGTATTGTAGCTCTTTACTTGGCGCTTTGCAGTACATTGCATCTGTTTATATTAGTTTATTACATCTGTTTACATTGTATCAGTAGTATATTGCGTACATTTCGTTTTTGGTACTTTGAGTTAGTGCATTTGTATATTATTGCATTGCCATTACTGCATCTTTTTACTTTAGTACTTTGCATCTCTTTATATTGGAGCATTGTGTCTATTTTTTAAAAATCTGTTTGCAATGGTGCTTTGCATTTGTACATGCATGCATCGCTTTACATGTACATCATATTTGTTTTCATTGCTATTTTGCTTTAGTACATTTAATCTCTTTTTTACAGTTCATTAATATGTTGCATATTTTCAGTGCATATGAAATCTGAGAGGCAGAGCAACAGTCTGCAGTGTGGGCTGCAGTTTTGTTCAGCCAGCTGGTCTGGCTTCTGATTCCACTGATGATTCATTGGGTGTATAACAGTTTAAAGTCTATGCCAGCTTTGAGAGTCATACATTGGATGGATATGGATGTTTTTGTGATTCATAACAAGCAACTGATGTATAGATGGTTGAGTTTAATTTATGGTAAAAGGCCCCTGAGAGCATGTATTTGTGCATGAATCACTTTAAAATGCATATCGAGGGTTTGTTGGGATTCAGGAGCTACTCCCTTTTCAGAAGACATCTCTCATAAGATCTCATTTTGCGACGGTCCTGTAATTTAAAAGCAGGAAAAGTTTACTTGGATGGATTCTTTCTTATTTATCTGTAGAATACTTTAACTTGCTTCTCTGTAGTTGTGTGTTTGTTTGGCATAGGCCGTTGTTATTTAAAATAATTCTTAAAATAGCCTATCGAGTCAGACATAGCTGTGCTAAGATTTTTTTTAACACCTGCTCCGACTGCAAAAGGCATTCTGCCTGTTTAACTAAATAACTAGATATTCTAGACACGATTTGGGCGATGCAAACCATCTAAAATATTGACCATATATGTGGGTTTTAAGAGAGTGGATAATATATATCAACACATTTCACACTAGAAGCATCATGGCATCTTTATAACATTTAGTAGCATGCAATTGTACCACTTCTGCATGTATGTGAAAGACAGGAAGCTGTTCTTGAACAGAGTGATGAAATACTACTTTAATCACCACTTCCCTTTTAAAGTAGAGATGACCATCTTCAACAACACAATGCCAGTACAGGCTTTTTTTCTGCACTAAAAATATTTTTGCTGCTGCCAAAATGAATCTGTCCCACCAGGTTTATTTGATTTATTTGTTTATTTGAACCTGCGGTTCTGCAGTACCAGTACCCGCTGATAGCCGTCTGCTTTAAAACGCTCCCTCGTGTGTTTGTGTGAAAGGTGAAGAGCGTCAAAGGTTTCAATTTACAACGTGTTTTTGCTGCATTGAGCTTTGAAGCCAATCACAGACATATCTGTTGAACATGTAAACGCAATCAAATGTGTTTAAGTTAGTCCGAATCCGCTCAACAACTCTCAAAACAGCAGAGACTTTGCCCAGCGTAGTTAGTCTTTACTAATTATACTAGTTAATTAGTCTTTACTAATTATAATCAAAAAAGTATAACACATTGTCAATAAGAGATTCATTGCACAGCATAGACCAATTCATTGATTATGAGGGGTGTAACGGTTCACAAAATTCACGGTCCGGTTCGATACGACACAGTGGTGTCACGGTTCGGTACGTTTTTGATACAGCAAAAAGAAAGAAATGCCAGAGAAATTTCTTTAAAATGATAAAAATTGTATATTTATTAAAAATATATTTATTGAGTTTTGAAGTGCTGGTACAAGATATGTGACGTACTTAAAAGCATTTTACTATTCCTGCCAAGCTTCCATGTTTACAGTTAGTTTTACTACATTAAATCCATGGTGAATGTTACTGATTTGTGGACTTAAAGCCTATAACTAGTTTATTCATGGCACAATGTTTCTCCTGGTTTCCACGTCAGCACTGTTTGATCTAATAGAGATCTACGTTTAATAACCAAGAAATTTTAATGCTTCAGTTCTCACTAGATCTTGCAGTGATGTTAATACTTCTGTGGCGAATTCAAATGCTTTCTTTACTGGATCTCTTAGCGCTGTGTAGTAACAGCATCAAATGATCAAGATCGGCTCGCGCTGCACTGACATTGGTCCAAACTCATAAACGGTCTGTGAAGCACAAAATAATGAGTAGCACAGTTTTATTCCGCTTTCATTACGTTTGCCATTTGATGTTGGGCAATGTTGTTTTGGTGGTCACGCCAGTGCGACTGCTAGAAAAAATGGTCCAACCGGCCTCGTACCGAACGGTTCAATACGAATGCATACATGTATCGTTACACCCCTATTGATTATAACGGGATGTTTCGCAAGAGTGCAGCTTATACCTTGCATTGTAATTGACAGCTTCAATGATTAAAATGATCTTTGATCGCTTTCTGTGTATAATATATATTTTTCATGGCAAAGTTCTGGATTGACAACCATATTTTTGATACATGATGATTAACTAACTATATTATTCTATGTACATTTCTGAAATGCACTTTCTGTAAAGCTGCTTTGAAACAATATGTATTGTGAAAAGCGCTATACAAATAAATTTGAATTGAATTGAATTGAATATTTGAATGTGCGATTGAAACCAATTGAACCAATGGACGGAACAAAACAATCGGATACTGTCTGTCAAATGATCTGTGCATGCTTTAAGTCTTGGACTGTAAATGCAAAATAACAGACTAGCCACTTTTTCTGTAATGTGTAATGTTACTTTGTTGTTCATTTTACTAACTTTTTTTCAAATCAGTCGCTCAGTGACTTTTTACATATACATTTACAGATTTTTAAATGTAAAATATTTATAAGCACTTTGTTTTATGATCTATCCTGACAGTGATTGTTTTTTTTAGCTTATTAATAAACAGGATAAGTTAATATTACAAACTGTTTCTTTGCATTTATTTTGGATTTATTGTCAGTACTGGGTTCGCAGTTCACATGTGTTGGGTACTTTGTACCGTATGACCGTGTTTGTCCGCCACTACCGAACACCATTTTTGACCCAGGATAAACCCTGCAGTCTCAAAATGCATGCTTTCTTTAAAATCATACCTGTGGTGTCAAAAGCAGAAAGATCAAATTAAGTGAGGAACATGATTAGGTTCCAATGGATAAGATATTTTGATAGGATTCAGACACATCAGTCTTATCTTACATCTAAAATGCAATGCCTAGTTACCGGTATATTCATTGGATCAGTGTGTATCCCAAGCCCTTAATGTGGAGATTGGAGATGATGAAATTCCAGATGGATCCAAGCTGCAAATTAGAGTTAGTCATGTTATTGAATAGCTTAATTTTAGTGCTGCCGCGATTAGTCGACTTATGCCTTGTTTATACTCGACGCGTCCGCAAGAGCGCGAAGGTGCGCACGGCAAAATGACGTAATTGCGGTGTGGGCGGTCGTGCGCGTTGGGTGCGCAAGACCCCATTTCGCCTGGCGGTGTGCACGGCACTTTTTGTAACATCGCGCGCGGCGCCGCATCCGAAGATGAACGACTTCGAGCCGAATCAGGCCGAACTGGTACGTCTGTACCAGCATGTTTATGATCCTTCTATACACAGAGACATTTGCATTGATGGGCGACCATAAAAGCCTCTCATTTTGTGAATAGGAACACATTTGCATTAAGCACCCAGTTTGCACTTGTCTAAAGTAACTGCTTACATTTATAAAATAAGCCTACAATAGCAGAAGTAAGCCCTGCTGATGAAATTAAGGTTTAAACACTCTTCAATAAGGCTTCAGTTGTTTAACGAGTTTGTACAAGAAAGTACAATACACCTACTGCATTTATTACTCTTTTAATATGAATCAGCTATTAATAAACTACTAATAAACGGCAAACTACTTCTTCACTGCTGATTCATGGTGGTTTAGAGGAGAATTACTCCGAGTCGCCCCCTGTCGTTTCACAGAATAGCACAACGGCGAGCGCGTCAAATATAAACGCCTCGTCCGTTTGGAGAGGTGCGCGCGCAGTCAGCGGAGACTCGCGCTCGTGCGGACGCGTCGAGTATAAACAAGGCTTTAGTCGACGTAATCGACCATGCAAATTAGTCGACGGCAATTTTTTTAGTCGACGTGTCGTTTTACTATTGACCGCTATTTATTTTTGGTCTCCCGTCACAAACGGCTCACTGTAATTCACCTCCACACACCAGTCTGTGCGCTGTGCGCGCCCTGCTGGTTTATCTGCTATCATTTTCCTTCACGTTCCCGCCCGCCTTCACTGCTTTGATATGAAAAATTGCGGAGGCAGGTGACGGAGCTTTCACAGTGGGCTCGTTTGCTGCGGTCCGAGTCCGAGCGCGAGCGCGATTGTTCCCGGCGCCCCCCGCAGCGTTGGTCTGGTTTCACACTCAATTCTATCGAACCCTGTTGAGTTTGCGTGCATCTTATGCCATCGCAAACGTGCACGGCGCATGATAGAAAACAGAACGCGGGTCAATATATTGTGTTTTTCAAACGGACTCTTTT